TTTATGTTCGAAAAGATCCTTTACAAGTATGTCGTGTGCCATTTCGGAGCCAAATTCTCAGCCTACTGGTGGCAGCGAGTGGGAGGCCTTATAACGCGGATCGCTTACCATATGCTAGCCTTCGCACCACATACGGCCTAGTTATATATTGACGACCTTCTCACAGCCTTGCTTCGGGCGCACGCGCCGGAACTCGTGTTCCTTCTCATCGCCATGCTTTCCAGCCTCGCAGCCCCTATCAGCTGGAAGAAAGCCACGGTCGGGGATAGCCTCGTATGGTGCGACTGGTTTTTCAACTTCCGCCTGGAAACAGTTGAGATATGATGCGCAACCAGACGAGCCAAGCTGTGCCACCAAATTCGCGGCCTTTTAGCCAAGAAGAAAGTACCTCGCAAGGAGCTCGAGGCGTGTATCGGCCTACTCATGTGGGCCACGAACATAAGCAAGGTCCTCCGGCCACACGTTGCCCCCCTTTACTTTATAGCGTATTCAATAGCCCTCCAAATTCCAACTGTTCCATTTCCCCACACATGTAGCCAGCCTTCCTGCATAGCCTTGACAGTACCCGAGATCAACCTCCCGCTCAAGGCCCGTATCATCGAGGTCGGCAGCCGCCCTGTACACTGCAAAGCAGACCTCCCTCCACTACGCGAAGCAACCTACTGCTTTCAGCCGTGCTCACTTGAGCCAAAAATATTCTAGAACACGAGAAATATAAACACGTGCATAAAACAACAAGTCTCGCAGCACAACCCCGCAGACTATGTACATACAATCACAGACTACGACGACGACGACAACCACTACTACTACTACTACTACTACTACCACTACTACTGCTACTACTACTACTACCACCACTACAACTACTACTACTACTACTACCACTACCAGTCACTACCACTACTACCACTACTACGACTACTACTACTACTACTACTACCTTTACCTACTACTACCTACTACTACCTACTACCTACTACCTACTACCTCCTACTACCTCCTACTACCACCACTACTACTGCTACTACTACTGCTACTACTACTGCTACTACTACTGCTACTACTACTACTACACTACTACTACTACTACTACTACTACTACTACTACTACTACTACTACTACTACTACTACTACTACTACTACTACTACTCCGGCGGCGACGACGTCGACTGCGCACGACTATGACTACGACTGCGACGACTACTAGCTTTAAGCTTTCTGTCTGTTACCAAACAGATGCCATGCTGGCTTGAAACCAGAAACACTACGTGCCAAGAATGCTTTGTCACACTAGCTTGCAGCCCAATTGCTTCCGTACACCCTCCTCGAAGCATTCCCTGCAGACCTGCCGCCCTCTTTCTTTCATTGACTGGCTTCGGTGCAGAGTCAGCGCAGCCAGCAGAAGATGTCGAATGCGTTGTCATCGTCGTGCCGCGGCGCTCGCGGCAAGACAGGTCGGCTGGAGACAGTGCGGGCTTGCACACACAAAGCTCCACAATGTCTTCCTGTAAGACCCTGAGTTATGACCCAAAATGAAAGCCAGCCGGGCGTGAACTCATGTTGCACCAGGTACCGGCAAGTAGCATCACGAGACATGGACAATCGAAACACCAAACAGGCATCAACCACTGGCGCCCCGAAGGACTTCAACAGGACCTCACCTACTGTCGCGCAGCGCCAACCTAGTAGGAGAGCCTGGATGGCGTGACGCCATCTGCTGCTGGGCCGGACATGTCACGTTGCACCAAGGCTTGAGCCCACAAAGACAGGTATCAGGACTAGGGTCAACATCCTGTGCACTTGCGTTTCTCGAGGGGCCAAGCTGCTTCTAGCCCAAAGCTTCACGATCCACAAGCAAGAAACGTGGAAAGGCATGTGTCCACGAGGGGCAGGCACACGGTCGGATGCACATGGGCTGGGGCAGGACAAGGCCAAAGAACAACCCACGATACGGGGACCAAGAAGAGGCGCTCACGCACAACAACTCCTTACTCGCATGAGGTGTCTGTCCGTGGGTGGAAGTGCCATGGCAATCCACACCTGTGGCGTCGGAGGCTCCAGGCAGGTTTGCAGCTCTTGCAAGCAGATGGAATCTAGCAAACAGCCCTATCGCCCGTCCACAGCGCTGTACTGCTGGGCAGGTGCCCTGAATGCTGTTTCAAGGCGGCGGTGGATTGCGAGCACATGACCCCGAGAACAATCGAAGGTCAACGACAAGGGATTGACATGGCATTGACTTAGCGCCTTCGCTGGAAAGACAGGGGCAGTATCAAGAAACCACATCTATCCTGCTCCCTGCCAAGCCAAAGCCAGCTCACCAGGCTGGTGTCGTCAGAATCACACTTTGGAAACTCCAACAAGAATCCCTCTTGAGAAGAAAGTGGGGGACGAGTCAACAGGCCTGGCCGAGGCCACTCAGCTGACACTCAATTGGGGCGCCTCATGGTGCTAAGGACCACTTCCGGTTCAAACTCTTCTGCGCTGCGCAAGGGCGATGGCCACCATCAATGCTTCGCCCGTGGCGACCTCGAGGTGGTACAAGAAGCCTACCTTCATTCTGCCGGCGTGTATGCAGAAACAAGAACAGGACACGACACTCCACAACGAGAAACAACATGCTTGGGGACCCCGCGGCTCACTTCTTGGACAAGCGACTTCGGCATCCTTTTTGCGGGTATCTCCTTGCCTTGCTTCTGATTGAACACCCTGCAGGTCTGAACCTGTGGCTCAAACAGATCGCGCTGCGAATCTCTTCATATTTGTTTCGAAAACAAGGAGACGAGGCTGACAGCGGCCTGGCAAGAAGAGGTGCTCTCACACTTGTGGCCAGCGCAGGGCTGCGTTGCACTTTGCTCTGCCGCCAACCTAGCATCAAGCTGCGCGGCGTGACCTTCTGGTGCGCGGCGTTGGCACTTCACGCTTCTGTAAACTCCCTTGACACCGTGCTCCATCACCGGCACCAGAGCCGCAGGTAGCAGTCCTGCGCGGCTTCCCATCGTCAGCATGCCGCAGGGACAGGACATAAGAACAACCAATCGGAGACCAGGGCCTGCCGTCCGCCAGCTGTGAGAACTCAAGATGTCGAACTCGTGTGCTGGTAGTGAGAGAGCAAGCAAGCAGATGCTTTGCTGCAATGTGAGAGCTTACATAGACCTCTCCGTTCGTCTTCATCTCTGTCGGAGGCTGCGGTGCCCGAAGCAGGATTCCGCGAACGTACAAGGCTCGGCTGAGATGATGCTTTGGAAGAAATTCAATCCTATAGGCTATGCCGCAATCAGGGGCCGTGCCAAATCCCCTTTCCAGCGAGTCCGGGGCCTATTAAAGCCCACTGCTCTTGGATGGGCAAGAGCAGGTGCCAGCCACACCCCCAGTTCGAGCATGTGGCAGCCATTGTGGCATCGCCAGCAGGCCATAGTCGGAAATCAAAACTCCGCAAACGAATCGACAGCCACAAAAGAAGGCGCGTAGATGGTCGCGTGGACCCTTTTACATGTCATGTCAACCATCCATGCCGTGACCGCAGCACGTGGCTGGGAAAATGCATGATTTGGATTGGTGCAGCCGCCTGGACAGTTCCCAGACTTTCACACGCACGATGCCGGTCCCGGCGCAACTGCGAACCTGTCGCTTCTGAGTCAGAATGTGGTGAACTCGAAACGCACGGTACGATGATACAGAGAGTAGTGCACGAGTCTGTTTGCTCTGGTCTGTTGTCTGAGCTTGGCACGACTAGCAGCGACGTTCCTGCTGTGACCTTCCTGGTCAAAACGAACGTCGTCCAGAGCGTAGCATGTTTGCCAGGCAGAGGATGTGGCCCTTCTTACAATTTCGGCGTGCACCTCCTCCGGACCATTTCACTCCGCCAACTTTGCTTTACTATGTTGCTATGCGTCACTGAGACGCGAGTCGTGAGCAGATCCCTCTTGCGGACCGAAGAACGACATGATGAAGATGCCTGTGCTGCCCATCCCTGTAGGATGTTGCGAAAGCTGCGATCCAAGTCTGACAGAGCAAGTGAAGGACACGATCTTTCCCAAAGCGCCGTGCCGCTGTCTCTTCTTGTCGCGGCCTTGCTGCGCCCATGCGTCGGCGAATACGTCTTGATTCTGTAGGATTTCCGGAAGGAACAGCTTGACAGCGACGTCTGTGAACCGCAAGCCTGAAGTCTGTCATTTGGCTGAATCTAGCTGTCTGCTAGGGTAGTGCCTGAGAGCCTGAGAGTGATCGAGAGTGCCTGCGATTCCTGGGCCGGCGAGCCATGTCACGAAACACACACACACACACACGCACACACACACAACAGCCATCATGGTCACCTGCGGACAAGCTTCCAAAATCTTGGTTCGTTTGTAGGGTGGGTTCCCAATTCATCATCCAGTCCCCTCGACTCCAACTCACTGAAACCATCCATTCCGGATAGAGACACGAACCCGGCTCCAGCCCAACCGTCTTTGCGTGCGGACGAGAACATGAACCCTGCACTTCACGCACTCATGCGCAACGGTTTCGAGCACACCTGTGGCAAGCCTTGGGACTTCCTCGAGCCCTCGGGACGACAGAACGCACCGACACACTCACAGGCAGGCAGGACGCTCATATCGGGCCATCTTTGAGTTTATGAAGATGCTAGGCTTGAGTTGCAACCGGCAGACTGATGGGCAGCCACCCCGGCAGCAGCACAACAGTGTCGTCCGCGTGTTCGCTCCAACCACGTGGTCCAGGAGGCCATCGTCAGAGTCCATGTTTGCCAAGGAGATCGTGCCATCATTGAACGTGGGAGTCATCCTGCACACGAGTCGGGACCTTCCCCGTGAAGAGGATGCTTGCAAAAGCTTTGTTGGATCCGTTTTTCGCACGGCTGAAACGGAAAAGGCTTCAGAAGGGCACCTCCAGCAGCAACTGGGGACACACCTGGACTGCCGCATTTTCACGAAGAAAGTCTGAAACTCAATGTCAACATGTTCTGCGGTACCCTTCAATTCAACGACCGCCAACACGACAGGAGTACACCCCCAGAAGGCCCACGGAGATACAAAGTGCTCAGAACCTCCGAAGCGTAAAACCAATGTCAGCATCTTGTCAGCAACCTAGCCTAGACCTTTCCGGAAACATTGCTACGATCAGGTCTTCGATCAGCCAATGCCAGGCTCTGCTTGTGACACAGAACGTGGTGCAGCTCCAGCAGGCCCACCCTCAAGACTGCGCAACTGAGTCGACCGCTGGCTGGAAGACAGTCTGGGAGAGAAGGCAATGGTCTAGAGCAGATCTTGGAAAAGGTTCGCACCAGAATAGAATGTGTTAGAACATGTAGGCCAGCTGGAACACGACGAGAACGCCGACCGAAGCACATGCCACGGTGGATCGAATCTTGTGGCAAAAGGGAACCTCCAGCCGAGCATCACGAAACACCCGAGCAGCTGCACAGTCCGACGAGGAGCTTGAACATGCTTGAACCGCTGGCGTCGCATGCGCGCTAGACCAGCCGTGTCCCGTGTGCTGGCAGCCTGACCAGTGTAAGCAGGGGAAGACACTGTGCATGTAGGCAGGCAGGGCGCGGCAGCACCGCTCTTGCGGAGAAGACGAAAGTCTGGCTGAAGGACAGCCAGGATGCTGACCCGTTCACTCTTTCAGCTGACAGCTTGAAACACCGGACTCGCAGCTCCACAGGCCTGAAGACGAGGGGCACGAAGAGGACATCTAGATGGCAATCGAGCTAGGCACCGGGACAGAACTCCAGTCTCCACCCCCTGCAGCCGCCATCGCGGCTACAGGCGCCGTCGGTGTTGGCACTGCGGGTCCCCATAGCCTTGCGGCTGAAGCCCTTCAAGCCCGCCGCCACTGGAAGCCATCGAAACCAGTGCACCACAGACAGGTCCAGCTTCTGCTGTTGAAGCTCGATCCGAGCCACGCAGCAGCTAAGGGCCATCGGCTAGAGCAGATGAAGCAAGCGAGGTGAGAGCAGGATGTGTCGGCATTTGGCAAGGAAGGTTGAGCTTGCAATGCGCACAGGACACGGATTGGAAAGGCCACACGCTCTTCTGTCGTTTCCGTCGGACGTAGAAACAGTATGGCAACAGTGGACCATGGAAAACTAGCGGGCAGATCAACGACGCTCAGAGCTCCCCCTTTTGCAGCATGCACAAGCAGCATCCTTGTAGCACATCTTTGACGCTTTGCTCCGTGACATGGTTGGCCATACGCAAACGGCAGTAGGACAAACAACCTGGAGGGGAGCCGCTTCTGGCATCCTCAACACTGCCAGGGACAAGCTGACTTTCGGCTGAATTTCATAAAATGTGCAGAATCAGTGTCAGCCTAATGCGCATGGACTTCTGCTACACACATGCTAGCTTCGGAACCGGGCATCTTCAATAAGTACTTTTTGCTGCTGCCCGGCATGCGAAGCATGGCAATGATTCACCCGCTCCCACTATTGTTGAAGAGCAGAGAGTGCGGAAGTGGGCAAGCCGAGAGCGCCACTCCAGCAGCTGTCGATTGCTGCACGGCACCTCCTTCTATCAGCAAGCATCAAAGCAGACAAGAATCTGCAAGGACGGTCGTCCGCTTGCCGCCGCAGCGCAACATACCGCCAACAGCACCTCGTTCGAGGTGCCATTAGAAAGGCAAAATGCTGCTGGTATTCTGGCAGGCACCTCAGAAGGCATGGCAGCGAGTGAGGCGATGCAGATGCGCATGGGCGTGTGCGTACTTCTGAAGCCACTGCACAGGCATCTGACTCGTGCACAGCCAAGGAGGTCCCTCAGCTGGGAGCAAGACAGCATGTCAACCCTAGCCTGGCCACAGCTCTGGAACACATCGGTTTGCATCTAAGTCATGTTCATGAATCGACGGTGAGACAGCATGGGCAAGGACCTGTGGAGGAAAGCCCGGGTGCCAACAACCACAACCTCCTCACAAGTTCTTGCTCCATGTGGAGCTAGCTGAATGCCAGGAAAAGCACGGCTCCCGTCTGTCCTCAACACACAACTGGCCGGCCATGCCCCTTCCAAACGAGAGTCTCAATTGCGGACATCAAGGCTGCCGAGTGAGACGGCACCGGGGGCTGGGGCGAGGAACTGCGCGCGTAATGCAATCTGTCCGACCAGACGGTGGCTCACACTCGGACTCGACAGTGTAAGCACAACGGTGACCTCGCTGCGCTAGCCCCTCCGGTCGCGGAGTCGAAAAGCAGACTGACCAAAGCTGCCTGACCGAACAAGAGGTGCAGCCGTCGCTGCGATAGATAGAGGCAACTTTTTCACCTTCCTCCTTGCTCTGAACCAGAACTCTGTGCTGTGCAGAACACTCGCGATCGGACATCTCTCGCTTTTCGGGTGCCCCCCGACCCCCGCTCTCCCTGTACTCAGTGGTCGAACTGTCAGTCACTCAAAGGGGCACGGCTCCCGTCTGTCCTCAACACACAACTGGCCGGCCATGCCCCTTCCGAACGATAGTCTCCATTGCGGACATCAAGGCTGCCGAGTGAGACGGCACCGGGGGCTGGGGCGAGGAACTGCATGCGTAATGCAATCTGTCCGACAGTGTAAGCACAAGGGTGACCTCGCTCTGCTTACCCCTCCGGTCGCAAGGTCGAAAAGCAGACTCACCAAAGCTGCCTCACCGAAAACTGCATCAGTCGCTGCGATCGATAGAAGTCACTTTTTCACCTTCCTCCTTGCTCTGAACCAGAACTCTGTGCCGCGCAGAACACTCGCAATGAGACATCTCTCGCGTTTCGGGTGCCCCCCGACCCCCGCTCTCCCTAAACCGGCCCCGGAAATGAGTGGCGATGAGTTTCCCGGCCGACACCAGAAACATTGCGAGGGGGTCCACGTCCCACTGAAGAAGTGACACCTTGCTGGATGGTTCATCTACAGGCAAGAGGACGGTCGCGTGCGATAGCAAGGCGAGAACGCAGCCAGGTCAAAAATCATGGGCGTTCCCGGAACAAAAAACTGTGTAGTAAACTCAGTCTAGGGATCCAACCTGTAAGGTAGTTGCGTGTTTTCTACATAATTCAGCAACGCGGGCAGGAACAGGAATGCGACCGAGGTACATGCATCATCTGCTGCTAGTTCTGGTCATGGTTGGATCTGCATCAACCCCGACAAAGCTTGGACAAGCTTACAGGGAACGAAACGACAGTCACGGACGAGCGGTTTGCCCAGCGGTGCAAAGATGAGAATCGGACAGGAGGGCATTGGGTACAGCGACGTTTTCCATGAATGCAAACTCAGGTTGCTGCTGCGATTGACTCATCTGCCGTCTTCTTGCCAGCCCGGGCAACTGCCTCAACTTTTGAAGCAGCCTTGGCTGAAACGGCGCATGGAGCCAGCCTTCATATCGACAGCTGATACACCCCGCCGCATTGAGCAACATGATGGCCCTAGGATTTTGGACGGTGATTTCTGGCTGATTGCGTATGTCAGTTTCGTCTCACAGTAACTGCAGATGTCCAAACTGCTCTATGTTGCCACTCGCCCGAATGCCTACGTCGCTTCTGAAAGATCTGCACCTTTATCTTTGAACATGTGCTTCGCTCTGCCGACATGGGCTTCGCATGCTTCGCTAGCTGCAAGAGAGCAATCTGAGCAGCACCTGCTAGCACAGAACCCTCTGCGCCTAGCATTGACGAGAAGAACTGGAAACCTTGATTCCACGGTGTTGCACTGGTGCTTGCCAGCATGACGTCTGTATGGGGGACGTGATCTATACACTCAACGAACCTGGATCAAGATGGCTGTCGATGAGGCTGCTGACGGCCTGAACTGACAGCAGCTTGGCAAGGCCGTGACCCGCCGGTCACCGTCGCAATATCGTGCAGAACGAAGGAAAGCTTGAACCCGATTCTCTTGAAACGTCGTCTTTGGACTCAGCACGACTCAGCGAAACTGTTAGCAAATGAAGCGGGTGAGGGCTTGGACTGACAGCAGCTTTGCAAGCACGTGAGACGCCTGTCAGCTTTTTTTTTAAACTGCTCACCCTAAAGCCCTAAAGCGAACCGATCTGTGCCTGTTATCGAATTTGGTAGTTCAGGTTATCGTGGCCCCGTCAGCTTGCATCTTTGGGCATAACGGTTCACGCTATCGTGGCCGACATTCTCAACCGACATCCTGGCAGCAACTGATGCGAGACAGGCCCTTGACCATTTACATCTTCGGAGTACTTCGCCTGTTGCTCACGTGTTACACCTGTCACGGTCGTGCACCTGCTGGCACAGAAGCCTCTGCGCCTAGCATTGACGAGCAGAACTGGAAACCTTGATTACACGGTGTTGCAAATTGGTGCTTGCCAGCATGATGGCAGTATGGGGGACGTGGTCTATGAGTCTATGCACTCAACGAACCTGGATCAAGATGGCTGTCGATGAAGCTGCTGACGGCCTGAACTGACAGCAGCTTGGCAAGGCTGTGACCCGTCGGTCACCGTCACAATGTCGTGCAGAACGCTGGAAAGTTTGAACCCGAGTCTCTTGAAACGTCGTCTTTGGACTCAGCGAAAAGGTTAGCAGATGAAGCGGGTGAGGGCTTGGACTGACAGCAGCTTTGCAAGCACGCGATGCCCCTGTCACGATCGTGCACCTGCTAGCACAGAAGCCTCTGCGCCTAGCATTGAAGAGCAGAACTGGAAACCTTGATTGCACGGTGTATACACTCATCACCGTCACAATATCGTGCAGAACGCTGGAAAGCTTGAACCCGAGTCTCTTGAAACGTCGTCTTTGGACTCAGCGAAACTGTTAGAAGATGAAGCAGGTGGGGGCTTGGACTGACAGCAGCTTTGCAAGCACGCGACGCCCCTGTCACGGTCGTGCACCTGCTAGCACAGAAGCCTCTGCGCCTAGCATTGACGAGCAGAACTGGAAACCTTGATTACACGGTGTTGCACACCGGTGCTTGCCAGCATGACGTCTGTATGGGGGACATGGTCTATACACTCAACGA